GGGGATTGAACACTATGTTGATCACAATAGTTCATCGGCACACTCTCGGTTCAAATTTATTAAGGCCTGATTGTCTGGCGAAGATTTATTTACTGAATGATGTGTTAATTATTTATCAAAAAAGGTCCAATCAAACATATGCTCCTACATTGCTCGAGATAATGTTGATGAGACCACTTTACTTCTTGCAATTCAAATTTTTAGACGATGAAGAATGTATGCTAGAATCTGATGCAAATGCAATGATTTTGAGATGTTTTTATGAGCATGATGTTTATTTGAAGTAATAAATACTCTAATTTTATTGATTTATGAACTTGCCCTTAGAAGAAACTAAAGTTCATCATTTTTTTAGACATATTTTGATATATTGCCCCCCCAGTTAGAAAAACTTAATTAGAGGAATTTATTCTTTATGCATCTTTTAGCCTTTTGAGGTTTTTAGATGATCAAAGAAATTTATATAGTATGTGGCTTCTAACCTTCGATATTTTTATGTATATGTACATTTTGAGGTTTTTAACCTTCTATAATTTTATATATATATGTGTCTTTTGAGACTTTAAGCCTTCTAAGATCTTTGATATACTTGTGCCTTTTGAGGCTTTTAATCTTCTAAGGTCTTTGAATGAGTGGTGACCCTGTCAATAACTTGCTCTCATAGAATGTTTCTAGTGAGGATCTTGTCTAGGACCAGCTTCACTTTGATGCTACCTCACGGGCAGACCTTCCTAGAGTTATGAGTGGAGACCTTATCTACCACTTGCCTGCATAGGCTCTTTCTAGTGAGAACCTTGTCCACCATTAACTTCCCTTCAAGACTACCTCATGCGTAGACCTTGTTAGGATTATGAGTGAAGACCTTGTCTGCCACCTGCCCTCATGGAGTCTTTCTAATGAGGACCTTGTCCACCACTAACTTCCCTTCAAGGCTACCTCATGGGTGCACTTTCCTAGGATTTATATGCAACATTAGTTATATAAAACTTAATTGATAATTTAAATAAAACTTTGAAACATACATAATTCCAAAAAGTTTAAATCATTCAGGTAATTTTCAATATGAGAGTACTTCTAGTCAATAGTGCCAACGATTTCTTTACCACGGTTCTTCTGATCTCCTCTATCTTGAGGATGATGATCTGCAAGTTGCTTTTATAAATAATAACCTAAATATTCTTGGCGAATCAAACGTTCAATTTTAACCTTTAATTGAAAGCATTTTTTTAGTTGATGTCCCTTTTAACTTTAAAAATTACAGTATTGAGATTTCTTAGGGGCTTTAGTTACTTGAGATGTTAAATATTTTAAATCTCCATTAAAATATTAGCCCTTGATGTATTTAAAGGAGTGTATTCAGGTGATATTGGATGAATTTGGTTAAAATCATTTTTTGACTTCTCCTGCTTTCTTCGCTATGTAGGTTGATCAAATTCTTGAGAATTTTTTCATTTAAAAGATGACTGTTCAAATTATTTTTGATGAAAACTGATGGCCTCAACTGCGGTTATTTAAACTACCACTCGATTAATCAAATCAGCATATGAGTGAACTGCCTCTCGCATTAATAATGAGTAGAGCGATCCAGGTCGAAGGCCTCCCAGACAAACATCTCTTAATAATTCAGGATTTACTCCTAAAATTTGATGTGCTTTAGAAGAAAAACTTTTGAAGTATTCCTTTAGTGTTTCTCCCTCATTTTGACAAATCCCAGAAAGATGAGTCTTTGATAATTCTTCGATTGGCGATGCACTGTTCAACAAAAAGTCTGGCAAGGATGGGTAAAGTTGTTGATAGTTTTTATTGAGAGTGAGTAGAATCAAGTACGAGCTTGGCCCTTGAAAGTAGCAGGGAAGATCTATTAAAGAAACGCATCAGAAGTTTGATGAATATGCATGATGGTCCTAAACTGATTAATATGTTCGTAGGGATCAGATGATCCGTCATATGGTTCAATTGTTGGTAGCTTGAATCTTCCCAGAATAGGATGTCGTAGAATTTTATTTGTTAAGGCTGAAGACTCTTGAAAGCTGCACGGATGAGCAAATTTATTTCATTCCTTCAAGGGAATTCTTACTGAACGGCTTCATATTATATCTCTTAAACCATTCTGAGGGGTATCAATAAGATGATGTTGATTTAAAATTTTCACAATGGGTGGAGGATTATGGGTTGACCGAACAATGTGAGGAGGATGTGTTGAACCAAAATATCAGAGAAATCTTGATAAGCCTGTGGGGATGTTGATGCTTCTTGATTGATGTTGTCTCCAAATTATTTTTAATATTGTGGAGAAAAAAGTCCATCATATTGTGATGGAACCCTAAGTTGTCCAACTCCCTCTAATAATTAAAGTACTTGACTTTGAAGTTCCTCCATCCTATGCATAAGATCCTCTAAGGTGAGGCCGCGGGGGGTGGGGATGTGGGGGGGTTTGATCACCAACATTTTGTTGTTCTTGGTTGAGATATTGATTATCAACCATTGAAGAGATATGTTGGGAATGTTTCCCACAGATGGCATCAAACTATTGCGGACTGAGAAATTCATGGTGGTATAATGAAAGGATTTTATGTCTTAGTAATGCACAAAAATTCAACACAAATAGATAATTGAGATGACAAAGAAACACCATAATTTTTATGTGAAAAAATATGAAAAAAGGAAAAAAAATCATGGGGCCTCACCCAGTTGAAATGATTACACTAATGTTTAAGAATATTACAAATGTCGAACCATCCCTTAACTCAAGGATGATGATAATACAATGTTTTAGAGAATCAAATAAACTTCACGCAAACACTTTAAATATTTATTGAATAACATATATTCCGATAGCAACAATTAGGAAGATATTCGACAAAGGTTTGATGCTGGTTGGAGATCCGAAAGAGGTGCTGTAGCTACCAAGGAAAGGATGTAGGTCCGACGATGGGCGGTGGTCGATAAGAAATTTGATAGCGGCCAATAAATGTGCGGAAGTTCGATGACGATCGGTAGTCGAGATGAAATTCAGAGGTGACCAACAAACGGGCAGAAGTCTGGCGACGGTCAAGGGAGGTTCGTCGATGTTGATGGTGGCTGTCGGTGGTAATAGCTGGTGGTGGTCGTCAACGGCGACGGCTGGAAAATGCAAGTGAGCTCTTACTAGTTCTCTCTTCTCATTCTCTTCTTTTCTCCCATCCATGTGAAGAATGAAAGTCTATTTATAATTTTTTTAAAGTGGCATGACTAGTAAATATGGAAACAATCAAAGGAAACTTGGGAGTGTTCCTACGGATGGTCAACAGATGGCCGATGTCGATTCCCTTTATCATGGATCATTTATTGAGTATTTAAGTGCATTTAATGATGTCATAATTAAGCATTCTTGGGTTTGTTGGATTCATCTCATCGAGTTGCTCGATTTGAGTATAAGCATGTCACATTCGAATGTTATTTAGTCATCCAATTAATGCTTTGAAGCTTTCTAATAGGCTTTAGCCCTTTGATTTGGGCTCGGATTGCACTGAACTTGGTGTCATTGTAATCGTCTCTCTGGGATGATCAATTTGACTATAAGTTTGATGAAATCAAAGTTCAAATGGTCTCATATCTAATTTTTTAAACTTATTACTCATATTTACATCGAGATTCGCGCTAGATCAAAATAGTTTTTTGTGACATAAATATTAAATAGAAGGAACTTGCCCATTCTTTCACGACTTTAACCATTTAATAGATAATTATCTTCTCCTACCACTAAAAGAATTTAAAAATTCAATAATTTGAGAGAGCTCTATTTTGAAACTAAGCTCTCTCATGATTTCAAGCATTAAATATGACAGGCAATGCACAATTTCTATTTCTTTTTTAGTATAAGCATGTCACATTCAAATGTTATTTGGTCATCCAATTAATGCTTTGAAGCTTTCTAGCAGGCTTTAGCCCTTTGATTTGGGCTCATTTAGACCCGGATTGCACTGAACTTGGTGTCATTATAATCGTCTCTCTGGGACGATCAATTTGACTATAAGTTTGATGAAATCAGAGTTCAGATGGTCTCATATCTAATTTTTGAAACTTATTACTCATATTTAAATCGAGATTCGTGCTTGATCAAAATTGTGGAGCAACATCGGCCTAAGAAGGTGCAATTGTGCTCCCTAAATTTTAAAAATTATATTAAATCCCTTTTGGCTTTCAGAAAAAAAAAAATCTATTCACTTTATAATTCCACCCTCTCTTCGTTGGATTATTTCTATTATTTAGTAATTACCCAATTTAAATTTAGACACTGTAGCAAGTTATAACACCTTTGATGATCATTTTTACTCATGTTGCACTAGCTGATGTCCATTTATTTGAAATATTCCTTTTTCCCCTAAATTTAAGTTCCATGCCACTGTGTCTTGCTTTAAATAATCCGAAAATAGCTAAGGCTCATTTAATTGCTTCAAGTTAGTAATTTTTTTTTATAATTAAATTATCATATTCTAAAGCATTGTTCTATCAACGAGGAACCAAATAAGCCATAATTATTATTTTACTCTCCAGTAATGAATTAATTGCCGAAAAAAAATTTCACATAACTCTCTCCATCATAATAAGTACAAGAATTAGGATCAATAAGTTCATGTGTAAGGCAGTTAGAATGTCGCATTAAATGTTCTTTTCTTATGTCGCAAATAGTAAGCCTATTAACCTACCAATAGACAATAGTAGTCACTAATTACAATCTCATGAGCTCATGGAAAACGAAACTTAAGTTCCTTCCCATTAAATACCTCAACTCATTTCACTATAAATAGAAACTAATAAAACCCAAATTAGAAGAGAAAAACAGGACATGACAAAAAAATCCAAGTTAAATCAAATTAAAAATATTAAATTCAGAAAAAGAACGGCGAAACTTGGATTCCACAACTAACGCTTCCTCGTATGAAAGATCCAAGCAGAAGAACAACAAAAAAATTGAAGAAAAAAATGAAGCGAGCATAAATTAAAACCAAAATCCAGACCTCGTGGACAAAAGACTCGAGTCGGGGCTTAGAAAGATCGGCATGGAGCGCATTCATGATTTCCTCTTCCTTCTCGTCCATCATCCGGATGATGCCCTTCAATTGAAAAGCTCTCCAGGCGTAGCTTCTCGTCTTCCCCGAATTAAAGCTCACTCGTAGACTCTTCACCAACTCGTAGGCTCTGCTATCATTGATAGGTCGCTGCTCATCTTCGCTCATCTTGCCACTCAACTGCGTAGAAGGACAGAGCAGGGCGTCTTTGTTGCGTAACAAGGTAAGGTTGCCTTTGTCGAGAAAAAGAGACAAACGAGCAAGCTGTTCGTGAAATGATTGAAAAGAAGTGCCCTTTATATCGCAAAAAATGATACGAATACGCTCCCTTTTTTACGTTTGGGTGTATTTGCGCTTAGATTTCTAGCCGTGGATTCCTTGAATATTGGAGTGGTTTTAGGGAGTTGAAGCTATTGGTTTATATATATATATAAGTTAAGATAATCAAATATATTTTTATTATGTTAATATAATGATTATTTTATGTGAGCTAATTTTGTGTTTGTTATAATATAATATTATGATTTTTCTATGAATATATCTTATTTATTGATTTACACTTTTAAGACAAGGATAAACACATGGGGTGAGAGAATGTGAGACTTAGACTTCGTTTGGGACGGCTTTCTTACTGCTTCTTAAAGAGGCTTTCTAGTGATAAAGATAAATTTTTGTACTAGAAAGCCGCTTTAAGAATTAGAAAGAAAACTGTCCCAAATAAAGCCTTAGTTTGTATAAAACTCGATAATATGGGTTGCTCGATTGTTTATATGGCTAAATAGTTAATGTTGTTATTAAAGTGGGTTGAATGAGGTCTCTCACTAAGCAATTTTTTGTTATTTTCTTTCGAACTAGGAACTAAATTGTCTAATGTTAATAACATTATATTTTATAAAAAGGGTTTTTTTTTTTCATTAATGCTTTTATTATTAACAATTTCTTTTCCAATATTAATTATTGCCTGCCCTAGATTACCCTGTTTAGATTCTGACCAAATGATGTGATAATTGAAGATGATTAACTGAGGGATAGATGAGCAATAATTTAAAATTGGCTTACTTATGAATGATTCCAGTACACAGCGAATATAAATTGAATTTAGACTTCATTTGGAACAATTTTTTTACTACTTAAAAAAATTATTTAGTACAAAAATTTTAAATTTTATACTAAAAAACTGCTTTAAAAAACAATAAGAAAGTCGTCACAAATAAAGCCTTAGTTTTTTTTTTTTTTTTTTAATTTTTTAAACGTCCCAAATAAAGCCTTAGTTTTTTTTTTTATCTTATGTGATGATACCCAAAAGGGTAGGTCAACTCGAGTAAGATTGAAGGCTCATAACCCATCATCGATTAAATTTTGTCATTAATTTTCTTATTAGGCTATTACACCAAGAGATAGGGTGGTTCAAATTAAGCCAGCATGTTAATAATTTTGGGTTGGCCTAGTAGTCCAACCTAATTCATAGCTCAAATTAGTAGCTCAAACAGAGTGCAATGCTTGGGATATGACACTTTATCTAAAGTTATTCATGTCATTGTTGATTCAAAGGTTACCAAAATTGTTAAAGTTTTTGTTTTTTTAGTCAAAACTTATAAAAATGGGGTAAAAAAATTTAAAGATAATATGAATAAGTTGAGATGAAAGACTAATATGATATTTAAAATTTTGGGATATTTATTGTACTAAATGAGATACTAATTGAATGGGTAAAGATTAACTTAAAAACATATTAAAATTATGTAAGATAAATAATATAATATGTCCATGATGAATAAAACATGTGGAATTGATAGAAGATAATAAGATCCAATCAATCATTCCCATGCAAATGCTCCTTACCTTGAATATAGTGAGAGAAAATTGAGAAATATGATAAAAATATATGTAAATTTTAGTATTCTTTTTAATAATGATTGACAATTATTGATGGCATGTATCATTATCTGTATATAGACGATGTCTGACATATGTTACAAATGTGTAGATGTATGACCAATTTTAGAATATGTAGTGGCATGACTTTTTATATATAGTCTATTGGCATCCTAATTATTGATAGAAATTACTAGGATGTATCTATAGGGTGTGGCACACAATTGAGTGAGTAATCGATGCCTTTAAAACTTCTTTCAAAATTTTTTTATTTATCAAATGCCTTATAGTGAATATAATAAAGTTAGCTAAATATATGATTATGAGCTACACAATAAATTGTAAGCAAAAGTGAAATTGTTATCTACCTAAGCTTAGCTTAATAATGGTTATACTCTTCACCACATCAATTATCAAACATGACTAATACAAATTCATCCTATTAAATAAGTATATGAATAATATAAGTAATTGTAAGAAAGTATAGCAAATCTATATAACAACTAAAAAAACTTCAATATTTATGTGATTAGACCAACATCAATGTATAGAATCATAGCTAATGAATATAGGAAGAACTGGATTCATTTTTATGGGTGGACAAATTTATCATATAAATAAATTAATATGTAAAAGAATAAAATAAAAATAAATAATTTTATGAGTGCTTAACGAGACCTCTTCACAAGGGAATCAAACTAAGAGTTTGATATTGTAATACTTACTGTAACAGTATTGCACTCATTTTGACCTCGTTTTGTAAGTTGGTGTGTTAAAACTTCTGCATTTTCATCCCTGCATGGGTTTGTGAGTATATATGAGTGTATAATTGCTGAATTTTATCCAGAAGCATGCCCAAAGAGTCTATGTGCATGTAAATTCAATATGAAAAATTTTCCCTTGGGGTGTTGCGGCACTGCATTATTGAGCTTTTTATATTTTGGGAAAATTTGGTGAGACGCTATGGAGTTGGATGGGGCACTATGGCGTCATGCTCTCTATCAAGAGAACTACAATGCCATGCTCTCTATTGAGAGCACTACAATGCTTTATCTTTTGGCATCACAGTTCTTGGCCAATGTCTTATAAAAATATCAAATTCCACTTGAAATCTATTTTGGCCAAATCTCCTCACCTCACATTTGAGATGTTGGCTCAGAGAGAGGATTTTTATTGAGAAAAATGTTACATTTGAGCATAGCCATTTTTCTTATTGTCGACCTAATTTAAAAACCTGTTCAGATCAAGATAGATTACATTATGTTTACCTGAATCTTTAATAATATAACATTTTTGGAGTTTTCTAATTAAAACTATAAATTTGAAGTGTAAAATGATGATAACTTTATATTTTCTAAGCTTTCATCATGTAACTTTTTGTATGTTATATGTATGAGTATTCTGGATATTTTAGTAATTTCTTTAAGAAATTCTACTAGGTAAACTTGAAAATATGCTATTTTAAGCAAATTAAAAGATGATTATAACCTCAAAAAATAATTTTTTGATATATTTAAAATTTCAAATAGTGTTCTGAATATTCCCTGGTAATTAGAGAAATTCTGAAATTATGAAATTTTGCTTGGTTGTTGAATATGTTGATTACCAATGTAGCAGTATGTGAATTTATGTATTTTGGTTATTTCCATTTCTTTTGTTGAAATACAATTATATATACACTTATCTGCTTTAAATGTGTGATTTTGAGAAGTTATGATGTTAGAAGAAGTTCTGTTGTGTTGGATGCACTGGGAGTCATAAGGGCTCTTTTTCTGATATGCTAGTACATTGAGTCATAAGGGCTTGAATTGTGATATCTGTTTCTATTGGGGATTATAAGTAAGGTTCTGAAAATTGGTCCGGTCAATGAACCAGATGAAGGAGAGTTTAACGATTTAAATGATTGATTGGGGTTTAATCGGATGACATAATAAATATTAATTTTATTGAAATATAATATCATTGATGTAATAATGATACAATCAATTAAAATATGTGACTAAATAAATAATTATGAAATATATAAAATAGTTCAACATATATTATTTTTGAAAATTAAAGACATAAAGTATTGAGTAAGATACCTTTTCATAATTTCTCCTCTAAATTTTCTTTAAAATATCCATTTCCTTTCCTCTACTAGATGAAATTCTATAAATGAAGTGAAGAGAAGAAAATTAACATTCATAAATTCAAAACTCTATTTTTCACTCATATTTAGGTCTATTCAATTCATAAAGCCCATTAAAGATTTTAGAAGTAGTTTTTCACTCATCTTTAGGTCTAATCATAATTTGATGATAATCATTTTTAACCAATTTTAAAAAATATTCCCTTAAGTTCAATCAAATATGTCATACAATCAAAGAATAGAAAATATATTTTCTATTACCTAATTATGAATACACATATGTCATATTCTATCTTTCTTTAGGGTTAATAGAGTTGGGACAACACAAGAACTAAGGCTTTCTAAAACAAAACTCCTTTTAGTAATTTCTCAACTTGCTTTTTAATTTCAACATGCTCACTCAGGGTCTTCCTATAATAAGGAATGTTAAAAAGTTGGAAATCATGCATATATCCAATGTTTATTGAATGTTTTTGTGGTGAAATACGTACATCATGATGTTTCTGAGGAGTAATATCACTAAAGTTAAAATGGTGTGGAGGGTCAATAAATCTATGAGTTTCATTAAAGCATTGGGTGACTTCTGTTATATGTAGTAGATGAAGGAAGATCATATCAAACAATTTATTATGCATAGATCTAAAAGTTTCTTTATGGATGGGTTTAAGGGGCATATACTAAAACTAGGATTAGAAATAATAGTGTTATCTCTTCTAATAAAATTTCATATAACTATTACCTAGATTTTGGCACCTTTTTTAGGAGCGAGCTTGAATTGAAGATCATGAGAAGTTGTCTTATAGGGTGTAATGGACGGTATATTATTTATAAGTTTTTTGGGCATGAGTTTGATTGTGTGATTATTATATTTGAAGATGAAAGTAGTTTTTTTTATAGTAGTGTATAACATTCATATCATACAATCAAGGTCTTCTTAAAAGAATATGAGTAATGTTTATGTGGATGGCATCACTCCAAAGTTGATCATCATGATTTCTTATTTAGAAAAGAACTAAACATAATTTGTTGATGGGGAGAAACGTGTAATTTATCTAGTTGACATGAAGGGGTTTAAGATGAGGCTCAATTTGGAGGTTGGTTTTAGTTAGGGTATGTGTTGAAATAACATTCATAGCACTCATCTCATACATAATGAACCTACACCTCTTATCATTACACATAATACACATAATAAAGATATAATTTCTTCTCTAGATTTTTATTGCTCTCTTGGCTATGGTAAGGCATTCATCACACTAAGCAAAGGGCCATC